GAAAATAGGAAGATGGAGATACAATAAAAGACATGAACTGGATTCCATATTGCCAAAAGGCAAAACTCAGGGATGCAAAGTCATGTTAGATATATCAGTAGTGCCTTGGAATGGCTATGTAAGAAAAGCAAATATTAATTGATCCGAACAGCTAATTTAGATTTGATCTACACATTTTGTTTAAAGAATCTGGTGTTACATAACCTTGAGTGTCTACAATTCAATTTAAAATAGCTTTTGTATAATTTTTGGAATGAAATCATAAGCCTATTTTATTGCATCTAAACTTACATTCAAGTATATAACTCAAGAGCGCACGTACCATTAATAGCTGAAACCTCCAGTTCTGGTCGAGTACTCTCATGGCTATCCAGAAAAGTTGACTGTAATATACTAGGTGTACCATCTGCAGAAAAGGGAGTGAAGAAGAGTTTTTTTTCCTTTGGAGTTCTGATTACTTTAATTAGGCCAAGGTAAGGAACCCATGTTTGACTAAATAATTGAACTGACTTGAAGAAGCTTGGGGGTTGTATTCCAGCAGTGGAATGACTATTGATTCAAGTAGACATTGACGCCCTGTGCACCATGTAACTTTTAATACACTTTTTCCATACATATCCCCATATTCTATCTCTTTCAGACACACATATCGGTTTGTATCTGTTTTAATAGGGATTAGACTATTTTAAAACCTATTGCTATTAAAGTATAAACTTCAAGGGGGGGAGGGGAGCTCGGGTGAGAAGGGATTATATATGCTTTCTATTAGCACCTTCCATTAAAAAGTCCTGAAATTAAACTTTAAAAGAAGTTCCACTGAAACGATGACATAGAAAGGGTAATGTTTCAAGTAAGGATTGCAGAATTAGTATTCCCCTCTAAAAAAACACCATAGGTTGCAATGAAGTTTTAGATCTAAATTCTAGGATCTAAATCCTAGAAAGCAAGTACTTCCTCAAAGACAACCAGGAGGCCCAGGAAAAGTGCAAAGAGGTTCAGAAGTTGAAATAGGCCCTGACTAAATGCATTCAGGACAAAAAAACCTCTCTGCAGGCTAGAAGAAGCCTAAATAAAGTGAACCCAATGTCTAAATGAACAATTTTCAAGTACATTCAAAAATGAATTCCAGGATTTTATATAAACCCCTACTGGACAGAATATTATGTTAATCTTCTGTTGCCAAAATGTTGCCATCAGGAGCTTTCCCCATATCTCAGTCAAAATAATAATAATAATGGCAGATAAGCTTTCCTATAACATAGTCAACCTTGCTGAACAGTTTTGGCACCTGATACCTCCAGGGGACTGCTGAGTGTACACTCCACATACAAGGCAATAATTCAATTCAATCAATCAAAGGAAATTCACAAAGACACTTTTAAGTCAGAGATGCATAACTTTTGCACTAAGACAGCCACATTTGGTCCTTACAAAGGTTGCCAGTTCCAAGCTCCCCAAAAGTTAGTAAGACCAGGACCATACCAATTTGATTTAGAATAATTGAAAAGTATATCATGAGAAAAAAACTTTTTCCCATTCATTACACTGTATGTTATAATTTGGCAGCAACTTCTAGCAACTTATATCCATGACAGGATAACTAAATGCTCTTCAGATAGTTTCTGTGAAGCTACCTGGATTCTAGAAAGTGCCTACTATGGACATTTGGTAACTAATGCAAGGAAGACTTCTAGCAAAGCAAAGTGTAAAGCAAAAACTTACCTATTGAGGTCTTGAATTTCCGAACAGGTGGTCTCTTTGGAGATCCTACATTTTCTAGACCTTTTGCCAAGGACAGATTGGTGTTTGAGGTACCCTGCCAGTTAAATACATACATGTTGATGTTATGTCTCACCTTTACAAAGGAGGTGAGAAGTCCAAACTCCAACTGAATACAAACAGGCAAGCAAATCCAGTAATTATAGAGTTAATTCCTTGAGCCGACAAAGTTCTTGGCAGTCTCACACACGCTGTCTGCCAAGTCCGACAAGAAAACAGGAATATAAATCACACAAGCTGTCACAACACAGAATACTCCGAAGCTCCTCTGAATAAGTCACACGTTGTCCCATACGAAGATTCCAGAGCAAACACACCCACTTTTATTCCCTGTGGGGCGTCACTAATTCAGCTCACTCTCTCATTCGTCCACACCTCCTGTGCTGCAGCCCACACTTTTGCCTGCGACGCTGCCTCGCATCAAGCCAGCATTCGTCTGCTTGATCCCCTGTCAAAGGCTGCTCCAACATGCCCTCCTCCTCCTGATTAGCCTCAGGCTGTTCCTCTTGGTTATCTGCCGACACCTGAGGCACAATCAGGGAGGAAGGCATTGCCGAAGAGGAAGGTCCTGGGGAGAAAGGCATTCCCAATTCCTCCTCCTCCTCATTTTCCGAATCCTCTTCCTCTAAGAATGCAGGCTCAGGACTTGGAGCCACAACATGTTGAAACTAAACAATTCAGTTTTATTTGATTGCTAGTTTGGGATAATTTTTTTATATTTCAGGTGGTTATTAAAACAAATCTGAGTCTTGTATTACTATCCTACTCTGTTTATAATAGGAATTCATAATATATAATTATATTATATAACAGGAAAATACATTGATATTTATGAGCCGTGGTGGCACAGTAGTTAGAATGCAGTACTGCAGGCTACTTCTGCTGGCTGCCCGCAATTTGGCAGTTTGAATCTCACCAGGCTCAAGGTTGACTCTGCTTTCCATCCTTTCAAGGTCAGTAAAATGAGGGCCCTGATTGTTGGGGGCAATATGCTGACTCTGTAAACTGCTTAAGAGGGCTGTTAAGCACTGTGAAGCAGTATATAAGTCTAAGTGCTATTGCTATATAAAGGGCCTTTTCTGAGTGTTTTCAGTTTGATGGGCTTAACTTTCCTCATCTTTTTATTATAAGAAATATAGCATGTGATAAATTACAATTAATTGATACAATTAATTCTTTGAATATATAAAACAAAATGGGCCCCTCATTTTTTTTGTATTTCTGAACAGTTTCCTCTAAATGTTGCCTCTCTGAAGTAGTCCTTTATTTTCTCAGTATTATTTATGACTTCTCTGACATTTTCTGTTGTATACAAATTAAAACATGGAACATTTTGTTCCTGCAGGCTCACAATTAAAAGACATGACAAAAAATACTTGCATTCATTTACTCAGATAACAATGATAAACAAATCTGTAATTAAAAAATATTCCTTGAAACCTATAGAGCATTAGTCAGACAAAAGCTCCCTTAAAATAAAGAAAGCCGCAACTTAAAATTTTTCATTTTAAAAAAATAGCATAGGCTAGAAAACAAAGTAACTTTCCTCTTACACTATAGTACCAGAAAGCACCACGGAACCAGAGGTGGTATTCAGCAGGTTCTGACCAGTTCTGGAGAACTGGTAGCAGAAATTTTGAGTAGTTCGGAGAACTGGCAAATACTACTTCTGACGGGAGATTTTATAGTATCCTTGCCCTGCCATGCCCACCAAGCCATGCCCATAGAATCAGTGGTAAAAAAAATGAATCCCACCACTGATGGAACATGTTTTTCATGCCAGCTGAAGAAGTCCACACATCTCAAAGTTGCCAACTTAAAAAAACCCACTGCTATAGAGCAATGTCTATAGAGATTCTCAATCATTCACATCATTGTTGTTCTAAAGGTGCTTTTTTCAAGAGGCAACTGGACCAGAGGTGGTATTCAGCAGGTTTTGACCAGTTCTAGAGAAGTAAGTGGTAGTGGAAATTTTGAGTAGTTCGGAGAACCGGCAAATACCACCTCTGACTGGCCCCGCCTCCCAAGTCCCAGTTGATCGGCTGGGTCTTCTTTTGTTGCCCTGCACAGGAGAATGGAACTGGAAAGCAGGTTAGTGGGGTGGGGAGGGAATGGGATTTTGCAGTAACCTTCCCCCAGGAGTGGGGAGGGAATGGAAATTTTGTGTTATCCTTCCCCTGCCACGCCCACCAAGCCACGCCCACAGAACTAGTAGTAAAAAATTTGGAATTCCACCACTGAACTGGACTTTTTTTTTTCTTGATAAAAAATACAGATAAACATCCAGGTGGCCTTAATGACTTGCTAAAAGGATGCAAATGACCAGCTGTCTGCAAGGAGTATAAATCCTTCCATTCCCGGCCATCCAGTCAGAGTTGAAGAAGCTTCCTGGGTAAGAAGCGAAATGTCTTCAAAGGAAAAAAGCAAGAAAGCCCAGTTGCCTCTTGGGAAAAAAAAACATTTTTGCTATAGAACAATGTAATGCAGACTCACCTTTCCACCTGCTTTTTTATCGTACTGCAGGTAACGAGATGGCACAATTCTTCCCCCTGGCAGAGGAAAAATGGACAGAGAAACATGACATTAAATTTGCACGCGTACCATTTCTTAACCATGAGACAAGCAGTTTTTCCAGAGACTCTGGGACTCTTTATGGGAACAATGTTGAGACCAAGCACTCGACTCCACAAAACGGCTCCTGTGCAAAGCTCCGATTTTAAGCTCGAACAACTTTGTGCAGCTGATCGGCTGCTGGTTACGGACCATGAAATCTACTCTCCCAATGCCATTACTCACTTCTCTGTTTCGGTCGGGCACCCGTCTCCATCTCAGTCGTTCCAGGCTCCCTAGAAAGACAAATGAACTTGGGTGAAAGGAAAATCACAACCCAAAACATCCATCGCTGCCGCCTAGTCCCTCCGCGCTCTCACCCGCCGAGCGGCACCTTTCCCGCCATTTCCGCCGAACAAACTCAGTGCTTTCCACACCCATCAAAACAAAATAAGCCTCAGCGCATGCGCCCTGGAGCCCAGTTGGAAGGGGCCGCCTGAGCCACCCGAAAGGCGGAAGGCCGGAAACTAGAGCGTCTCGCTATCAGGGAGCGCCTCGGGTTCATTCATTTCTCTTGTCATTTCATTTCGCAGCGGAAAATCCTCACTTCCGGCTTGCTCAACTTTCGGTCAGCGGCCAGGCTTCACGCATGCGCAGAACACTGCTCTGTTTTTAATTAACTTTTCCATTTATTTTCCAAGGCGAGCAGCGGGACCGGGTTAGCCGTTATATTAATTATTAAACCCATTCTGTGAGACCCCGTGGCCTCCACCAACGGGGATCGAACCTACTTCCGCTCTAGTAGCTGAAATAGACTGGCAGCTGGTACATGTGACTCGCTCTTGCTTCATGCCGGCCGGTTTCTTTCGCCTCTTTCCTTCGCTTTTGGCTCTTCCTCTCTTGCAAAGAGGTACAACCCTGCACTAATCGGTGAGCAGCCCCGACAAAGGCTAAGTTATCGGGACAAGGTTTGAATCGAGATCTCCTTACGCTTTGGTGTGAGGACCCGTTGAGCCTTATGGTGCCCGGGGCTCAGTCTCGGGATATTTGGGCAAAGTCTGAATTAGTTCCAGAAAGGTGGAGAGGGTTTGTCGCTGGCCACTTGCAGGTTCTTCTTCATAGCTGCATGTTTCCTCTCGCTCAGTGGAAAAAGTTGTCCCTTTGGGCATGGGCAGAGGGCACCTGGGCGCTTGTGTCCCAAGCTATACAATGAGGGTCTTGTTCACAAAATCGCGGTGCCTTCTCTGTTGTTTATATCAGTGTTTTTTAAACTTATTTCTCTCAAGGCCCCCTTCCTCTTTTTAAAAATTAAAGAGGATCCCCAAAGAGTTTTTGTTTCTATTTATTGATATTTGTCATATGGGAAGGATGGGTGGCAAACAAATTTAATGAAATATATTAAAAATTAAAATGGGTGCACTGGCTGTCGTGACTGCCTCTCTATTATTTGATGGGATTTTAATAATGTAATTTTTCAACCTAGCTGGCAAATAATTTTGATTTTGAGGACCCTGAACAGGCCTTGGGGATCCTCAGGGGTGATAGGATTTACACTTTAAGAAATGTTCGTCTGTTGGAATTTATAATCTCCTGCAATGATTTAACCAGTGCTTCAAAGTCTGAAACAGTATCCAGGAAGGTCTATACATTATAACAAGTTTAAATTGCAACAGTGTTAGCTAAATTGAAAAAGTATGTTTGGAGATTGGAAAGCATGGAATGAATCCTTTGCTTACTGTACAGGAAATGGGAACTCTGGAGATGTTGCTCTCCCCAGCGGGAAAACTCTTATGCATTGGTTTTACCTAAATTGTCTACAGGTGTTAACATAAGGTAGTCCTTGTTTAGCAACCACAATTGGGGCTGACAATTTGATCACTGAGTCAAACCGCAACAGTACATATCTTACTTCAACTTTCCTTTGCTTTACAGACCTGTGAAGGTCATAAATGTGAAGACTGATCACCAAGTTACTTTTTTTCCCACTGTTGTAACTGTGAACAGTTGCTAAATGAGGATTCTCTAGTGCCTTTGGCAGTAGAAAGAAATCAGTCCTCAGGGAGCCCACTCTTAATCGTTTTACTCAGAACAAATCCTTTGGGGGACTTAATTCAAGAGAAGAGACATAGCATTACTTAAAGTGTGGAGTGAATGGGTAACAGATACAAATGTGCTGGGCCCTCAGAAACTTGCTTTTTTCATTTTGCTACAGTTCCCTTTCACCTTGTTCTTGGTACTAGGAGAACAGCTATGCTCGCTCGGGGAAGAACAATTTTCTCTGGACTTTCTGTCTACTGGAAACCCCTCTTCAAAGGCCGACTCCTGCTTGTAACCAACACGGTCAGCTGTGGAGGGCTTCTAGCAGCTGGAGATGCACTCCGCCAATCCTGGGAGATAAAGAAGGACTCTAAACAGAAATGGGATCGTGCCCGGACAGGTCAGTTTATGTCATGTTTAACTGCTGGTTTTACCTTTAAAATGCTTCCTGGACTGACATTGAGATATCTCTAGGATCACTCAGTTTCAATCTGTTTGATTACTAGACTCCTTTTCCAGAACATCAGGAGAATGAAGGCCTCAAATGTTTTTCTGTAGTAGCGGTACTGATATGGAACTTTCTGCCCCCTGACATCCGCTGAACATCTACCTTGCTGGATTTCAGGACATTTTCATTTATTTATTGAATTAAGGGATTGTAGGGTCATAAAGAGGGAGATTCTATTCGATTAGTGTTGTCACTTGTCTTTATATTTATGACTCTGGCTCACACAATGAAAAGCAACCCCTGCAAACAATAAATAGAACACAAATTAAATGAGAACAAATTAAAAAAAAAAAAAAGCCATAAACAGCAGGAAACTACAAGTCATATGTCAGTCAATGCAAGCATTCCAGCAGGCTTCACACAACTGGATCCCTATGCACAAGGACAAAACAGAAGTGAATCGCAAGCAGTCCTGTAAGGAACTTATTATCAATTTAATTTTAGCTGCTAAAATTATAATTGCCCAATAGATAACATAATAAAAGAGTTGTGGATTAATAAGGTCTCTTCAGTTTGCTACATTAGGAAAAAAATCAGAGTTAAAATAAATAAACATCAGAGGCAAGATTCACAATTCAAATGTGGATGGTTTAAAATGTATATAGTTTTATAGTAAATTGCTATAAACTATAATATGGCAATATGTTAGATATATGGTAAATTTGTAAATTACCTGTCTTTAATGCTAGTCCTTGGCTTATGACCACAATTGAGCCCAGCACTTCTATTGGTAAGCAAAACAGTTGTTAAGTAAGTGATATCCCATTTTACAGCCTGTTTTGCCATGATTGTTAAGAGAATCACAGCAGTTAAGTCAGTCATTTGGTCATTAAGCAAATCTGGCTTCCTGCAATGAGTTTGCTTGTCAGAAGCTGGCTGGGAAGTCACAAGTGGTGATCACATAACCTTGGGACGGTACATCTGTCATAAATATATATTAGTTACCAAGCACCCGAATTTTGATCTTGACCATGGGACTACTACAATGGGGATAAGTGTGAGAACCCATATAAGTCACTTTTTTCAGTGCCATTGTAACGTTGAATGGTCACTAAATGAATGATTGTAAGTCAAGGATTACTTGTACTTTGTAGTTGGTTTTTTAAAATATTCTTCTCTTACTTATGCATCATGGGTTTTTGTTATTTGCTGATGAATCCCTTACGTTTTGCTAATGGAGCAAATTTCCTCCTTCAGCACGAATGTTCGCCATCGGCTGCACTATGGGCCCAATGATGCACTACTGGTACCTGTGGCTAGACAGGTCCTTCCCTGCTGCTGGCTTCAGTGGCATCAGGACCGTCCTGAAAAAAGTTTTAATTGATCAGATCGTTGCCTCGCCAGTCTTCGGGGTTTGGTATTTCATAGGTAAGACTAAATTCCTGATGCTGGAAGACAATTTGTATTCTTTTGAGGGCAAAAATGAATGGGAAAATATATGGGCTTTTGCTACAGATCTTGTGTGGGGATAGCAGAAGCAGAGGGTGTGGCCTTTCTGTTGCCCCTTCTGTGCTTGGCTTCCTCTGAAAAATATACAGTTCCTTTCATTCCCAGTAGCCAAAGAATACCTCCCATATTTCCATCTGCCTTGTTATTATCTGCAGGGATTGGATCTCTAGAAGGACAGACTCTGGAGCAAAGCTGGCATGAATTGGAGGAGAATTTTTGGGAATTCTACAAGGTAAACTTAATTTTTGTTCTCTACTTTCTGATCCAAAGTTTGTGGATGGAGTTAACTTAAGTCTTTTTCTGTTTGCAGATGGACTGGTGTGTGTGGCCACCAACGCAGCTGATCAACTTTCTGTTTCTGCCACCCACGTATCGAGTGATTTACATGAATGTCATCACTCTAGGATGGGATACTTACCTATCATACCTTAAATATCGTGTGAGTAGGACTCAACTAAAATAATTGGTGTCAGAAGGATAGGCAGTCCTCAACTTACAACAGTTTGTTCAGTGACTGTTTGAAGTTACAGTGGCACTGAAAAAAAGTGACTTATGACCATTGCAGCATCTTCATGGTCATGTGATCAGAATTCAGACACTTGGCCATTAACTCATATTTATGTTGGCTGCTTCTATCCTGGGCTCATGTGATCATTTTGCAACCTTCTGACAAACAGAGTCAATGGTAGATTCACAAAACAACTGTGTTACTAATTTAACAACTGCAATGGTTCACTTAATTGTGGCATTCTGACCAAGGCTTCCCGAGACCGTAATTAAGCACATGCTTAGTTAAAACAACTTTTGTTTTATTTCAACACCGGGAATTATTTTCATTCCCAGCCGGTAATGAGTCCCAAACAATTCCTTCGAGATAAGCACCCACCTTTCTTTCCTTTGAATTGCTGCCAACAAATAGCGTGCCAAATGAATTATAAAAAAACAACCAAAGTACAAAATCCACATAGAGCTTCAAGGATTAATCCGAACAGAACGAACGACTTTGCTTCCTGCAAAGGTTTCTCTACCTTTGCATGTCCTTTATACCTTAGAGGAGGGGCAATCACCTCCAAACCTTACTCCCGAATTGCCCCTTTTGTCTTAGCTGCTCTTACCTTCTAACAGCAGCTCTGCACACACGCACACTGGGAACGGGCTCCCCTGGTTCCTCTGCCTCGCTGCTGCCAGACTCTGGAGGCTCTGGAGTGAGCATCCCACTCCCTCATGGCTCTGACCCCATCTCTGCATCAGACGCAGGACCCTCGTCTGAGTTCTCTCCAGACTCCCTGGCTGGTCCCCGTTTTTCCCCACTGTCCAATTCTGCTGCCGTCTACACAGACTGCTGGCAAACCACAACATGTTGTGTGGGAAAGAGCATAAAATGGGGAAAATTCACTTTAAAAATGTCTCACTTAGCAACAGAAATTTTGGGCTCAATTCTGGTCAAGGACCTGTAATTCAGATTAAAACACTGGGTGGAATGAATGTAAAGTTGTGTTGAGTAAGACCTTTTCTCTAAGTGGCTTGATAAACTTCAAGCTTATGGAGCTAAATGTGTGCTAATTGGTTGCTTTGTTTTGTTTAGAATAAAAAGCCATCACTCAGCCAGGACGAAGCCTCTAAACCTTGCACTTCTGAGATCCAGACTACTGGGTGAAAAATGTGAATAACCAAACTACTTCTTAAAAACTCGAAGCAGTCCACAGCATCTTTTTTTTTTTTGAAAAATACTATTTGAATTCTTCTATGTGGGAAATGGTGGCTGAATGAATCTGTTTTCTGCAAGCAATTCTGATTTTCCTTGTCAAAAACTCTGTAATAAGAACGAGACTGAAGGCTCAGAGCACTTTTCCTTTGACAGGATGGTGTGAATTGAAGCAGCAACCAGCATCTAGCAAGCAAAAGTACTGCCCCTTAAAGGTGCCAAATTATAGATTTTTCTAATTTATTTATTTATTAATTTTGTATCGTCTCACGATGTTGGATGGCATGCAAGAATCTCAACAGTGATCTTAAAATCAATCATGTCATCAAAAACAGAGACTAAGAAAATATGTCCACCTTCCTTCTCCAACCTTCCTTCTTCTTTCTCAGAGAAATCAGGAAAGTTTTCCAGAGCTTCCCAAAAGCCAAGAATGAAGCATCAGGTGCCTTCTAGGGAAGGCATTATTCCATAGAGCAGTGTTTCTCAACCTCAACAGCTTTAAGATAAGTGGACTTCGACTCCTAGAATTCCACAGCCAGCAACGGGGTAGGGCCATATTTGAGAACTGTTGATTGTCTTCAGATGGTTCAAATTAGCAACTCAGTTCATTCTTTGGAGGATGAATGCATCTATTTTGGAAATAATAACTATTTAGATAACAGGAAAGTCAGACAAGATAAGAAAGGGAGAAGTAAAAGGGGGGAAATTCGTTTTGGTACCTGTACATCCGCAGCATCCTTTACAGAACATGCTGCCAGAGGAGATGGATTTGGGCAGCCTATACATTTAATTAATATATCTTTAAAAATTACAAACAAGCTTGAGAGTAACTTCATCCCATGATTGTGTTAAAAGATTAAATATGGGAAACTAGACTGTGTCCTTATTGTTACGCTCACAAGCAGTGCCGCAGCAGGTAGAATAAAAAAAGGCCTTAAAACCAAGAGTGAGTGACCTAATGACTCTAAAGCATGGGAATTTTTCAATTCCTTATTTTTTTTCCTTCAGTGGATTAGAGAAATACATCAGGGAAATGTTTGCTCACAATATATCCAGACTTTTCTTGAACTTATTCTTCCATCTTATGTACTATATTTGCTGCATAAGTAGATCAAACTGCCAGGGGTGGTTGTGTGGAACATTAGGGTTGCAGTAAATATGGTGTCTATGGAGATTCTCAATGATCGAGTTCATAGTCATCTCAAAAGTGCATTTTCCAAAAAGCAACTGGACTTGTTGGGGTTTTTTTTTTCTTTTCTTTGAAAACGTTTCACTTCTCCTCCAAGAACTGAAGTAGTTTCTCGGAGGAGAAGCTTTCATTTCGAAGAAATGAAACCAAGAAAATCTAGTTGCCTTTTGGAAAAAGCACCTTTAGGATAAATATGCTGATGGACCCTTGAAGATTGCATGGTCCTTGGTGTCCTCTGAGTTTGGTGGTTTTCATCAGTGCCCTGATGGTGTTATCTAGTTTGGTAATGAAATGTCTGCAAGAAAACCAAGCTCAAAGAGCATCAAGGACTCAGCAGTTCAACCATGAACTACAAATATACTCTTCTATCAGTACACTTGGATGAGAGAGAATATATTGAAGTGATAAGCAGAGAAGATGGGTGTGGTTCCAAAAGAAATAATTTTACAGTATTGTGATTTAAACTGGGCTGGATGGTGCTACACTCCTTCCTAAAAGAGCAGGTCCATAGGTTATGTGTGATCCCCAGGAGATTGTTCAGAGAAATCAATGGTAAAAAGTGCATTTCCACAATCATGCTAAGCATATCAGTTCCAATTGTTTGTGGCCAGCTGGATTTGGCAACAGTTATGCACGTTTTTTCTGTATCTCATTTGTTGTACATGTAGTCCTCAACTTACAGCCATTCATTTAATGACTGTTCGAAGTTACAACGGCATTGAAAAAAGCGACTTGATGTTTTTCACATTTGCAATCACTGCAGCATCCCCATGTCATGTGATTAAAATTCAGACACTTGGCAACTGACTCATATTTTTAAGGTTTGCAGTGCCCCGGGGGTCAGGTGATCCCCTCTGTATTTAGAGGCCACCTGAAAAAGTTCGTAAACTTTTAAAGATGATTTTGTAAACAGATACCTGCAAGTTTCTGTGCTATCAATGATCAGACAGTCTCTATACTAATGTACTTGGGAATAAATGTATTTCAAATCAGAAAATTCAGTTGCTGATATTATTGTACCTGTCTCTTTCCTCTCAATAAATCTTATTAAAGACTGTCACAATCTTACTTGAAATAATTATTTGTGGTTGAGGCAACTGCCGAAAAACCTGCCACAAGGGTGCTTCTAAAGTCTCAGTATTTTCACTCTCCAATTTCTCCAAAGCAGTTTAAAATAAACCTGAAATTTGCTTTGACTACCCACCAAAATTGTAGGAAATAAATCAATCAGTACTTCCATCTTACCCATAATTTTGTTCTGTCAAACAATCACTTCCAGCTCTTGATGGATAGCATTTTAGCAGCAACTGGATATCTAATGGTAGCGTAAGCACCAGTAATAATTGTGTTTGCCTTCTGTGCTCTTCCCAAATAGCTTCTTGGATACCTTCTGGATGGTGGGAATGGTGTCATCTTCCAGTAATTTGTCCCTCCATTTGGGTTGGGTTTTTTGGGGGCAGAACAGCGAAGTTGCCATTTTTTTCCTCCAATAATTTATTGTTGGTTGTGATTCTTCATCAATAACCTGCCCATTGGACAATGTTTCTGGGCATGAACACACACAAAGGTATAATACCTGGCATTGCTAGGTTGTGCCAAGCCCCTCCTCCACAGCCCTTAACTTACCATAGTTGAGCCCAGAATTATGGATATAAGTTGTGCGGGACATTAAGTGAATCAGGTGACCGGGTCCAATTTTACAACCTTTTTTTGCAGCATTTGTTAAGTGATCATTGGTCCTTGTCTACAATGGTTGTTGTTTTTTTGCCAGAAACTGGAAATAAACACAAGTTTTTGGCAAGAAAGATTGTAAAAAGCTGTCACTGAATGCTGCAAGCAGCCATAAATGTGAGCTAGAAGCCCAGTGCCCAAAATTGATTAAATGGTGAGCCACGGTAGTGCAGTGGTTAGAGTGCAGAATTGTAGGCTACTTCTGCTGACTTCCAGCTGCCTGCAATTTGGCAGTTCGAATCCCACCAGGCTCAAGCCTTCCCATTCTTCCCAGGTCAGTAAAATGGGGACCCAGATTGTTGGGAGCAATAGGCTGACTATGTAAAACACTTAGAGAGGGCTGTAAAGCCCTTTGAAGCAGTATATACGTCAATGCTAGTGCTAAATGAGCATGGAGAGGGGGGAAAGAGAGGCAGGCAGTTATTGGAAGTTTGAATCAGAGTTGGAAGTAGATGTGGGGCGGTCTGTGGTAACTGAACGGTCACTAAACCAGATTGAAGACTACCTGGACAGTACAAGATAGCAATCCAAGAAGGTTGCAAACTCTACGAGTGCAAAAATAAATCAGAAATCTGTCCAAGAGGAACTGAAGATCCCAAAGAAAAATACAAGTTGCCTTCTCCATTTAAAGCCATGATGGCAAACCTATGGCACACATGCTAGAGGTGGCACACAGAGCCCTCTGTCTCAGCATACAAGCCGTCGCCCCAGCTCAACTCCGCCACACATACATGTGCATGCCTGCCAGCTAGTTGGTCTTCGGGTCTCTGTTGCCCATGCGCAGGGGGACGGGTCATGCATGGGGGTCACATGTGCATGCACGGGGGGCAGGGTGAACATGCAGTGGTTGCACATGCATGCACAGGGCGGAGCACGTGTGGGGGTGAGGGGGGTCACACACACATGTGCAGGTGGGGTGGGCACATGGGGGGGAGCATTTTGGGCACCCACATGCATGTGCGCGCTTTGGGCAACTTGGTGCTGAAAAGGTTATCCATCACTGATTTAAAGGAAAAATAAAATGTCGCAGTTCCCCCCTTTTCTCTTCTATAGCTTAGTGCAAACACCAGGCTTTGAGAATCCTCCAACCACCCCAAAGTGGCTTGAAAGAAAATAGTTTATGGTAAGGGTCCCCAAACTTGGCAACTTTAAAACTTGTGGACTTCAACTCCCAGAATTCTCCAGCCAGCTATGCTGGCTGGAGTATTCTGGGAGTTGAAGTCCACAAGTCTTAAAGTTGCCAAGTTTGGAGATCTCTGGTTTATGGACTCCTGGATGGTGGGAGTTACAAAGGTAATAAAGGAATAAAAAGAATATATTCTGGAATATTCTGGAAAGAATAAAGGAATAAAAAGTATCCCCAGCCTCCAACTTTGCAAAAGAAGAGATTAGTTTTTGCATGAAAATTCAGCTCTCAAAATGAGCCAATGCCATCCAAAGACACTGTTTCAGAGAATTTTGAGTTGGTGCAAAGTCCTTAAGTTGAGTTGTCCCAAGATGCATCTCTTCAGTTTAGCCCCTTAATGGTTAGTTTTTATGTTAATATTAATCTTTGTATTTATTTGCTGTTCAATGTCTATGGAAATTCCCAGTTATCCAGATCATTATTGTCCCAGAGGTGCTTTTTCAAAAGGCAGCTGGACTTTTTTTTTTTTTCCGTCTTGAAGACATTTCACTTCTCATCCAAGAAGCTACTTCAGTTCCGACTGAATGGAAGCTTCCTGGATGAGAAGCAAAACATCTTCAAGTAAAAAAACGAAAACAAAGTCCAATTGCATTTTGAAAAAGCTCCTTTGGGTTATGAGCCACAATGGCACAGTGGTTAGAGTGCAGTACTGCAGGCTACTTCTGCTGACTGCCAGCTCCTGCAGTTCAGCAGTTGGATTTTCACTGGCTCAGGGTTGACTCAGTCTTCCCTCCTTCCGAGGTGGGTAAAATGGGGGCCCAGATTGTTGGGGGCAATATGCTGACTCTGTAAACCTCTTAGAGAGAGCTGTAACGCACTGTGAAGTGGTATATAAGTCTACGTGCTATTGCTATTTGCTTTAGTCACCATAAGCATTCCATGTAAAGAGGCAGCCAGGGTATTAATTCAATTGAAAATATATTTTAAAAGAATGATATATTAGAAAAAAATAAAGGAATTTCCCCTTCCCTTAAACCTGCTGCCCCATCTAAATAGTCCTCAATTTATGACTAGTCACTTTGTGACTGAAGTTCTGACAGATCCTGAAAGAGGTACTCAAGACCCAGATTCGAAGTTCTGACATCTTGCACACATGTGATTGCATTTTGGGTGCTCAGCAACTGGCTTGTATTTACACCTGTTTTCAGCACCCTGTGGTCATGTGACCATGATTTACAACATTTTTACTGGAAACCGGCATTTATTTCCAGTTTCTGGCAATGCCACATAGGGGACAATGGGTTCACTTAATGACCACTGCTCATAAGGTTGTAAAATCAGGCATTGTCACAACTTATGGCCGTAATTGTGAGCTCAGTTCTGGATGTATGTTGAAGACTAAATGAAGTCCATCTGTTATTATTCTGTTTCCCAGAATTCAGATGCAGAGGATTTGGCTTTACAGCTTGAGTCTTTTAATTCTACAAGAAGCTTCCAAAATATTCTTGGCTGATATGACCAATAAAATGAATGAGTCTGGAAAATAATTCTGATCAAAGCCTCTTGTGTTGATACAGTTAAGGAGATCTGCCTAGGAGAAAATTTTCTATGCTAGTTTCATGTGTCAGATCAGAACAACATGTGGAATTTGGGTATATACTGAAAAGGTTGAGACTGTCTCCATGACACCTCCGAGAGGCAGTTATGAGTTGTGTAAGAACATGGTTGGATCAAGGGTCTATTCAGTTAATTATTAACAGATGCCTCTAGGAACCTGGTGTTGGTCCGTCAGCTGCCTCTGACCAAAATTAGTTTACATAACCATTGTTAGACAACCCAGATGAACAGTGAAGTGGTTGAAAATATTGTTGCATCAGCTTGCAGCTGAGAGTTCCAAAAACGAATTATACATTGTGTAAGGGACTTATAATAAATACCAATGGTTTTCGACTGGGCAATTTTTTCATTATTTTACTATTTTGTCCCAAGTCCTGATGATTCCTGGGCTAGTCCCAGCAGTTTTCAAGACTTTGGGAGTAGTTTGCCATTGCTTGCTTCCAAGGACTGAGAGAGTGGCTGGCCCAAAGTCAGATGGCTTTGTGCCTAAGGCAGAACTAGATATCATTATCTCCTAGTTTCCAGCTGATGCCTTAACCACTACACCAAACTATACTATTCATGGTATTCCTAACTTTAGATGTCCCTTTTGTATTCCTTAGGACCCTTTTTTAATCAATATTCCAATGATTAAAATGCTAAATTTGGACAGAGGAGACTTGGGTTCAAGTTCTTACTCAAGTTCTTACTCAACCACAGTGCTCACCAGATGGCTTTGAGCTCTGCCAACATATCTAGAGGATTGTTGAGAATAAACTGGGAGACTTGTCTTACCCGAGAGAAATGATAGGATATACAGGTAGTCCTCAACTTACAATTAATTTAGTGAGCAAAGTTACAACAGCACTGAAAAAGTTACTTATGAGCATTTTTCAGTTACAACCTTGGCAGCATCCCCAATGGTCATGTGACTCATATTCGCCTTGGTTGATATTTGTGATGGATCATATTTATGATGGTTGCTTTGTCCCAGGGTCAGTTTATGACCTTCTGACAAGCAAAGCCAATGAGGAAGCCAGATTCAGTTTGGGGCTGAATTGTGGTTGTAAGTGGACGATTACCTATAACTGCAATGTTGATCTATGCAAAGGTTACCATTCGGATTAAAACTATCTTCTAGGAAATTTGCTGGAGCACAGCTATGGTGGGCAGATTGACATGGCCCAGAAAATACATGGAAATTATTCCAGAGGTTCCAGAACATTGATTCTTCAGAAAATTCTGAACCTCTCTAAAATGCAATCATAAATTGTAACCACCAAATCTTTCTATTTGCAAGAAAAAACAGCCAAATATCTGTGCACAATTATTCTTCTGCACAAAATTATATTTCCTTATCAATGAATCTGGTGGATCTGAATATATATACTGTTAATAAGTACCTCTTTGAATGATCTACATAGGGAAAATAGTTTTTATCTGCACCTCTGATAGTTTTCCCTGATCTTTAATTACCACTTTCAGGCAACATTATTTTGTATTTCTTTCACAGGAACTCTGACATCAAATGCTTTTGTGATTAGCCATTTTATTTCTTCACAATATCTCCTTAGTACAGTGATTTTTGTTTGCTCATTTTAGGAAACTGAATTTATTTATTTTGACACTTCTGACAGGTTTTGTTTTGTTTTTTTAAATACAGTACAGCATATTTTTTCCATTAAAGTAAACCTCAAAAAGAGAAAGAAAGAAGGAGAGAGAGAGAGAGAGAAAGAGAGAGGGCAGATAGTGTCTAAGATTTGTAAAACAAATGTATAGAGCTTCGTTGAAAAATAAATTAAGAACAGCAATGGGGAAGGGGAAATAGGAATACAGGTAGGAGTAAGGTAACACAATTCAACCCCAATCTGCCCCAGTCCATGCTAGGGGAAAAGGATGCTGGACTGGGGGGAATGTATCAGGTTCAACTTAACCCCTGCAAACTCAGGTCTGTTTAGGAAAGGAAGGCAATGGAGAAACCATTCCAAAATGACAAAGAACCTTTTGACTTTCTCATGTGTTTTTTAGATCAGCCAAGATGGGTTTTCCAGCTGCCTCTCTGCCTTTCTCCTCTTAAATAAATACATAGCTCTGTGAAAACCCTTCAGGTAGGGTGACTTATTTTAAAAATAACAAACTAAAAACACCAACACAAACCACGACACAGCAATGAAAGGTCCATACACACATAACATCACCAGCTACTTCTATTTACATGGAACTGGAGAGATTGCTCTTTTTTTTTTCCTTTTTCGTTTTCTGTACACTGAGGAAGACGGGAAGAGGAACAAGCAGGTTATCTATACACTCGGAAAGGTGAAAGTGGGAGAACCATCTTCTGCAGGGCAACTGAATGGAAGCAGAACATCTCCAACCTACTTTCACCTTCAGCTTTGCTACACATAGCCCAGGGGGCACCTCTTTGCTCTGACCAGCCAGTCAGTGAGCATTGGTTCCAATTTAGCCCTGTCTTTCTCAAGGAGAGAAGCTAGAAAATCTGGGTGTAGACTAGGCTGCTGCAAGTAACGGAGCAATCCCACCCTTACAATTCCTTGCTGGCAGAGCAAAAGGATCTACTCTATCATTTCTCCAAATACGATCACCTTCTAAATCCAGGAAGGCCTTCTTCCTCTTCTACCTGAATGGAAGAAAGGATCTACCCGTGACAAGCCTCTTCTTACTAAAGTGACCGGGTTCAACTAGACCTAGAGTGATCGTAACGCCTTAGAATCCAGCGTGACAAGAAGTACAGTTTTAAGTTGGAAATTCCTGCCGTTCTGTGAAGAAAGGTATTCACCTTAAAACCTATTATTTTCATTCATGGTAGAGGATAAACAGCATGCAAGAAGCAGGCACGGACTGGAGCTAAACAAGAGGGAGCGTTGAGGTTAATTAATCTCACTTCGCAGCATTACAAAAACCTAGCCCAATTCAGAGCTGGTAATGGGATAGTTCCCAGATAGCTCAGTTTGCCTGAACATTATTATTTTTTTCGCTCTACAGCCCATGATCAGCGGTCAGGAGGAAAAGAGGCAGATGCTTCTGACAGATACATTTTCCTTCCTGTGAAGACACAGCCAGATTCCCTTGAATCTCAGGTCGTCATCTATTTTTGTCCACATCGAAAATGCAGGAAAATGCAGTGGGATCGTGGCGCTTACGAAGCGGGAAGAGGGAAAGGATGTTTCAACGGTGTCGATGGGAACATTATAAATATATAAATAAATAAAACCCCACTAAGAACAGTTAAAAGTTCCAGTGCTGCCCCCAACTCTTTTTTCACGCTCATCAACTTGAACCCCGGTGGGGGGAAAGTGGGGGCATACAGGAAGATAGAGCCTCTATCCACCCAAAGATTAAAGGGAGTAACTTTTGAAGCATTCAAAGGCCCACACAGAGAGGTGGAGAAGCTCTGGGTTTGAGTCTCGACCATCTACCCTGAAAGGATAAGCAATGGGATAGCTAAATGGTGTGGGTGTGTTGGTGGCGGTAGGGAAGACAGAGAGCACAAACTGTCAAGAATCTAGGGGCTCTGGTTACTGCAAGACATGAGGCAGGCAAGGTGGGTGGGACAGGAAAAGTCAGGGCATCCACACCAAAGTCTCTTAACAGGCACAATCCTGGTGGGGGGGAGCTTGTTGATCGGTCAGTTGCGGGCCCTGCTTGGCACCGGTCACAGCTGGATCAGCTGCGTCCAGTGACTCGGACATCTTTTCGCAAATGATGTCGACCAAACGTTCAAAGGTTTGCTTCACGTTAATGTTGTCCTTCGCGCTGGCCTCGAAGAACTCAAATCCTGGAGGAAGGGAAAAGACAAAATACAAAAAAAAAATGCATGTGCAAGAATAGGAAAGAGAAACACGGTAGGGTCAAAAGGCTTCGAGGAAAATCAAAGACCAATTATTTCCAAGGGGAGTAAAAAAGAAAAGAAAGAAAGAAATCCATCAGCTTCTTGCAAACAGCGGAGTGATTTACCAGAGGTCAGTGTGTTATTTTGTTAAGAACAAGTTTTGCCAAATTAGTCTTATCCTTTTTATCAACTTAGTAACTTTGTTAATAGACTGTGTGAATGATGTAGACATAATATATCTCGAGTTCAGCAAAGCGTTGAGAAAATACCTCACAACTGTATTAGCACGCTTGTTAAGAGTAAGCTGAATACACAGATGACTCAAAAATCACATTGGAGAGTTCTTATAGATATATTGAACCAGAGAGATCTGTCTAATAAGACAAACAAGGTTCAGTCCTAATATTTATACTCATCATTTATAATTCATGATTAGGATGAAAGGGCAGGGAAAAGGAGTTACCTAATTTGCAGATGACAAAAATGAGTGGGAAAATTAAGTAGGGTGGTGGTGAGATGGGTGGCGTATAAATTCAATAAATAAAGGACAGAATAAATAGAAGACAGAAATAAAATAATTTGATCCATCAGTATCATGGGTTGAAAGGGAAAGAATTAAACTTAGACTAATGCAAAGTTGTTCACCTGGAAAATAAAAATCAAATAGAGAGATAAACCTGGCTTGGCAGTTGTACCTGTGAAAAAATCTTGGAATAGAAGTTGATTGCAAACTGAGTAGGAACAAGCAGGGTAATTTAGCTGCCAAAACCGTAAGTGCAGATTTAAGCTAAATCTGTAATAGTGTAGAAGTTCAATCATGAAATGTTGGTGTTCCCCCACCTTAAGTGTTGTAAAATATCATATTTAAGAAGGATTTAAGGATTTGAAAGAGGCTCAAGGAAAAGAGTGAACATCAGAGGACTAGAAATTAAATCCTGTAAAGAGTAACTGAAGGACCATGAAATGTTTATCCTTGAAAATGGACAGTAGTAATGGCCTTCTTTAAATACCTGAACGATGCCATTCAGAGAAAGGCCAAGACTAACATGTATTTATGTTCCATGAAGGAAAATGCTAGCTGAATGTTTGGAAAAATACCCAATATTAAGAGCAATACAGCAGCAGAGTCATTTATCAGAGACATGGTGAGCATTTCAGAGAATGTGTTGAAATGGTGCCTAGACAGCCATCTGTCAACAATGTTCTACCTTCAATTTGTTTGATTTACTGGCCTCAAATATCTCTCTTCTATTATGAATATGATTTTATGAAATCCAAGGCATCAAAGTAGGTTAATCAAGTTCAGCATCTTATAAGGATCCAGCCGCAAACAGGTCTTGAAAGCAACAGTATCACCTAACAATTTAACACAATTTCTAAAATTTCAAAATCTCTTTTAGGTGATATCCCATTTATTCCCTGTACTTCCTGTGTTAATTTATCTAATATCCTTTTAGACACCTCAGCAACCAATCTTAGAAACTACTGACAGATGTTGTAACAAATGTCTTATTTTTTTATCCTGAACCTGCATCTAATCCATTTAATAACAGCTTCCTATTTAAAGTTCCAAAAAGATTAGCCACCTATACTTTTTCTATGCAATGTGCATATATTATACAAATGTATCTCTTTATATAAATCTGTTTTGCATAATTTATTTAATCTACACTAGCTATATTAAAACTCTAAACCCTGTCTTCCTGGAAACAATTTTTTCCTTGAAGCCTGAAGACTTGAAATTCCACTTCTGTATCATTTATCAAACTCATCTTTATAGCTCAAACACATCGTTCTAATTGTTGTTCACTTACCCAGGTGCTCAGCAAGCTGACGTCCTCGTTCTGATGACACAACCCTCTCATCTTCCATGTCACACTTGTTACCCACCAACAGTACCTGGGCATTATCCCATGAGTAGGTTTTGATCTGAGTTGACCTGAAGTAAACATCGGGGTGACAAACTCAGTCATATTTGGTCAGTTATTTTTAACATGGTGGGAAAAACAAGAGCATATTTCAGCTGTACTAATAAAAGTAATCACAGGCGGAAAATGTCCATAGGCAGGCAAGAGTTTTATTGGGATCCAGCAAAAGGTCACAAAAGGGTGTGCAACTTTTGGAGTTTGGAGAGCCTTTGTGAGGCACAATAAAATAAGATATGGAAGAAGCAAAGAAAGTCTAAAAAGTAAGCTACATGTAATTTTATGTCATTTGGTTGAACCTAATACAGATATCATCTACCTAGGGATTCATCATGAAGATACACTACTAAAACTCCTGCTCAATCAGCAGGAACGCAATAGCGTGGGCGGGGCAAGTGAGCTAGAAATATAGGATGGGATAGCACTGGGGCGGGGAGGGGACAGGGGGGTGGGGGCCCACCCGGTGGTCGAAACTATTGGTCCGAACCACCAGCAGCCCACCAGTGATTGTAACCACTGAATCACCACAGCTCAATTTGCAGGTATGACAGTGATGAAAAAGTAACTTTGCAACCAATGCCCACATGTATGACCTTCAAGCATCTCTCAGTCACCTATTCACCATTACAGTCAGTGTGTGTGTGTAACCTCTTAAGCATTTGGCTACACACAGACCCAGTGCACTAGGCAAACAGCCAGTGCTAGCACATTCTTTTCATTGTGCGTGCCTTTTTATTTGCTTATAACCCCTTCCGCTCCAATGAATGTAAATACAAATATTAATCATCTTGCTAATTATCCCAGCATTGGGGAAAGCATTCCAAGAAGCAGAGAAGTGAGGGGAAAGGGGTAATAAGATTTATCCTTTTAGCTGGCTTTCAGCTCATCATCAGGGTTGAAAGGGACCTTGGAGGTCTTCTAGTCTAACTCTATGCTCAAGAAGGAGCACCTATACCATTTCTGACAAATAGATGTCCCATCTCTTCCTCATAAATCGAGTTTCAGAAACCTTCCCTACCATTTTTGAGCTCACCTGGTTGTTTGGGGTCATAGCCTTCTGAGACTATAAAAGCAAAGTGTAAGGAAACTCTTAAGCACTGTTGCAATTGACATGGTTTTTCAATTAGCAACCACTTTCCTTAATGACCAAATTATTGGTTCCAATTGCAGTTGCTGGACAAAGACTATCTCTAATGAGCATTTAAGGCATATTATAGTTTTCTGTTCTGTCCTACCTAAATTACATAAGAATAGGGAGCAAAATTAACCACAAGACTTTGTTGGAAAGATGTAAGTAACTCAGAAAGAAAGCCAGTTTGGTCTAGTGGTTAAGGCTAGAAAGCAGGAGATTGTGAGTTCTAATCCCGCCTTAGCCATGAAAGCTGGTTGGGTGATTCTGGGCCAATCCCTCTCTCTCAATCCAACCCACTTCACAGGGTTGTTGTTGTGGGGAAAATAGGAGAAGGAAAGTGTGTTGGATATGTTCACCACCTTGAGTTAATTATAAAAATAATAAAGGTGGCATACAAATAACCTTTTTTGTAGCTTGCATATAAAATGATAAGTAAACATACTGAAGATGTCAATTTGATCCATGGGTTGTTCAAATGTCAGCTGCATTGTCCAAAAGAATCCTTGGAGAACATTTGAATACTAAAATTGTTATAAGTTTCAGAATTAATTAAAGCTAGTCATAAAAACTTTGACTCACCAATCTTGGACAGCATTGAAGGACTCTTCATTGGTGATGTCATACATCAAAATAAAACCCATTGCCCCTCGATAATAGGCAGTGGTGATAGTCCGGTATCGTTCCTGCCCTGCTGTATCCTAAGAAAAACACAAAAATGATTTTTAAGTATTTTTATAGCATTTACAAGTATCCCATGGAACTGCCATACTTTACATCGAAGTTTCCCAATCTTGGCAAATTGAAGTGAGTGAATTTCAACTCCCAGAATTCTCAGTTACAGCTGTGGAATTTTGTGAGTTAAAATCTATATACCTGGAAATTGCCAAGGTTGGGAAACCCTGCTCTAAGGTTTTTCCCCAGTTGTGGTCAATTATTCTATGAGGAGTATTTCTTGTGATGGTAATTAAAACTCAAGCATTTTAGGCTTTAATGTTGCTGGCCTTTGTTCGTTCTCGTTCTCTCTCTCTCTCTCTCTCTCTCTCTCTCCCTCCCTCCCTCCCTCCTTCCCTCCCTCCCAACTATCAACCAATGAAACAGAAGTTGTATTCAGAAATTGTGGGAGCTTCATCACTGGAGGCTTACAAGAAGAGACTGGACTGCCATTTGTCAGAAATGGTGTAGGGTGTCCTGCTTGGGTGGGGAGTTGGACTAAATGACCTACAAGGTCCCTTTCAACTCTGTTATTCTATATTCTCTCTCTCTCTCTCTCTCTCTCTTTCTCTCCCCCTCCCTCTCTCTGATGGACAGTCTGTGACTGGGTTTGGATTTATTTTAAACTTCACCTTCCAAGGTTACAGGAGAGTTTACTAATTGCCAGTGATGTCATGCAGAGTGGAAATATCAAAATTTCCAGTCCACATTAGGAGAGTTGGGGAGATTTTATTGCTTAAAGGAGAAAAATGTATGCCTTTTAGAAGCTGAATGTACTTTATTTATTTTCACTAAAAATAAGGGAAATTGAATTTCAGAAAATTAATGGTTTTGTTGCCAAACATTGGCCATGCTTGAGGCTGAAAAAAAAGATGCTGGGTGCCTATATGCTGGGTGCCTAATGGATCACTACAGCTATTCTAGAAACACTTCAGTAAATTAGTCTTCAAAAAACAGCACTTAGTCTTCAAAAAACAGCACTTGGCTTCATAATAAACTGATTTTATAATGGGGAGACATTCATTAAATGTCTTCATGGCCAAAATATACTTTTGTTCTTCCAAAAAGATGTTTTTTTTAAAAAAAAAATCATTTAAATTTATTAGCCATCCAATTCCAATGGACTCAAAACTTTCAGTTTTGTAAGCCTTGTAACAGCATTGAAAGGAAAACCAATATTATCTAACATGAACCTTAATGTAATGGTATGTAGGAATGACCTTGAGGGAGGGAGGGGAAGAGATACTGATCAGAGGGGAGAGGGGAGGATTTACTTAACATTTACTTAACCCTCAGAGAAAGAAACTTAGGAAGGACCTCCTCCTGCAAGTGCACATTCCATCACACATGATCATGTGTCCTGTCTGCTTTACCTGGAACTTCCTTGCACAAAAACAGACTACTACTCCAATTATATTTATATTGTTTAATCCAGCTGACAGGGTCTTTGACCTCTTCAAGCTCTTTCCCAGCCATGCCCAACCCTGCTGGCAGTATTTTCTCTCAGAAAACAATTATTCGCAAACAATCCTGCAAGGCAGCTTTTCTCAACTTTAAGACATGTGGACCTCAACTCCCAGATTTGCTCAGCCAGTATGGGGAATTCGGGAGTTGAGGTTCATCATGTCTTAAGGTTGCTAGGGTTGAGAAACACTGCTACAAGGCAAGACAGCTTTCCCTTGCCTCCTTACCCAGATCTGCAGTTTAATGCGCTTGTCGTTGCGATAGATGGTTTTCACTTTGAAGTCAATGCCAACGGTGCTGACAAAAGCCGGAGTGAAGGAGTCATCGGCGTACCGGAAGAGGAAGGAAGTCTTCCCAACACTGCTATTGCCTATGATCAGGATCTTGAACATGTAGTCGAAGTTCTGGTCTGAGGATTCCTTCTGGCCATAGCGAGGGTCTGTTGCAGAAGCCATCTGGGGAAGAGTTGGAGAGGATGTGGAGAAAGGATGGGGTACAAAACACCACCCAATTTGCAACTTCAGCGGAAAACCAAATCCTCTGATCCTTAAAGATTAACAATAGGTCCCCAAGTCTCTTCAAGGCTATTTTCTTCTCAAGTTATTTCCCAAGCTGTTTTATAGAATCTGCCTGAACTTTAGCCCACCACAGACTTCTAAAAACATTTAAAAGAAAAATCCCTGCTAATTAAAGTATTTTTGATAAATGTCATCCACATTTTCAATGATGTTATTTATTTATCTTGCTATTTTACACATACAGACATATTCAATATTGTAACGTAGACTGACCTACAAATGAACTACAGATAGTCCTTGACTTACAATTAAAATTGGGACCAGAATCTCCATTGCAAAGCAATGTGTTTGTTAAGTGCCTGATTTTAACACATTTTTTTTACCACGGTTGTTAAGTGAATCACTGCAGTTGTTAAATGAATCACGTGGTCATTAAGTAGTTTCCCCTATTGACCTTATTGGACAGCAGTTAGGAAGACTGCTGTCAATCACATCACTCTGGGACACTGCAACTATTCTAAATACATGCTCGTTGCCGAGTGACTGAATTTTGATCATGTCACTGTGAGATCATTGTAATTCAAGGACCGGTGTAACTTTCAAACGGTTACTGAATGAATGGTTGTAAGTCAAAGACTACCTGTACAGTATAGCAGCGGGACAGGGATCAAAATCTGCAAGATGGCAGTTGAGGTATTATGATTCAAGCCAAAGCAGAGAGGTTGGATTGCCATGCCACTCCCCACCCTCTGGCATATTTTGACACGATTGATCAAAATTGTAACAGTTTATAATCCTTATGGACCTTTACAAAAATGATACACTAACAAATTAGGTAGAGAACTATCTTCTCCCTTATGAACTATGGTTTTGTTTTTCATTTACTGAACAGTTTATTGCAATTTGGTTTATTAAAGAGTCTTTTTTTTCTTTCTTTTATAATTTTGCATTATTTTGCATATAGTACAACATACAGCACAACATACAGTACAACTCCCTGGTATGTTATGGCTGCATGGAACCAAGAA